TCTCTCCTTCGTGTCCTTGGCCCGTGCCAACTCCCAACGCCTCCTCCATTGTGGATTAGGGTGTCTGTGCGTTTTGGATCTGGTGGAGTGAGGGTCAGATCTGCGGGTGGCTTAGGAATAAAGTTGGGTTAAGTTTAATGAGGTTATAGAGATGAGTGTGAAGAAAGAGAGAGGAGAGAGAAAATGGAGAATGCTTTGCTAGATCGATGGAGGATTGAGGATCTGTGCGTGGTTTGTGGAAGTTGGAAATTTACCAGTCGTAATTTACATACGTACCATTGTTGTGTGCCTTTACAGTATTTGTGAACATTATGGCTTCGAAGTGATGACTTTAAAGTGATGCTATCTTTTAATTTTACCCAAAAAAATAAGTGAAAAGAAAAAGGAAATTACACTAACTCCGCTTATATTTTTATTATATTGAAAGAATACCATCATAGTTTTCTATAATATTTTTTACCCCAATTAGATTTCTATCTTCCACCAAATATCAAGAAACCAACTCAACAATTATTTGTAGAAAATTTTTTTAAAAAAAATTATAATTGTCCCTTGATATAATCCTCCATATTCTTTTTCTTTTCAGCTAAGAAGAATTCTTGTAACCCAATAAAGAGAAATAGAGATAATGTCGAGCTTCTACTATGTTGACTCCTATTTCAAACACCACTTAGAACACGTTCTCTTATTTTTTCTCATTGCCACCATTCTCATTGTTATCTCTCGCTATACACATAAACTTATACAAAATAGGTGTTGATTAGTTAAGGGATTTTGTTATGGGATTGATCAGTTGGAGATAGCAAGGATGGGGGAAGTGAGGTATGAGGGAATTATGTGTTGGTTGAAAGGAAGATGTCATTGTTGATTGAGGCAAAAAAGGGTTCTAGGTCTCAAGTGTGGGGTGAAGGAGAAGGATGATATTGGGATCGTAGGGAAGAAAACACATACGGGATTGCTAAGGTTTCATCGTTTTGGTTTTGGTGGTGATTTTGACTAAAAAATAAAGTAGATTATTGGTTTTTTCCTTGTTTATATTAAAACATATTTGTTTTTTTAATGTCACGTTTAACAAGGGTAAAATGGAATTGTTAAAATATATAGATAATGCTAGGAATTTTCATTGGTCAAACTCATTATTGACCAATGGAATCAAACTAAAAGGGAGCACAATATAATAGGAAAAATCATTTGGATTTTTTTTTTCCAAAATAATTAGAAACCATAAAGAGTGGTAATGTAATTTATTCCAAAAAATTGAAATTATATTGATTCTCGTTACTCGATTATGCGAAATTATCTGACCCAACGCTTCAAATTTTTTGTCTTTTTTTTTTAATTATTTGAAACTGTTACAAGAGCGAATAAGGTGAGGTTCAAACCCATTTTGCCAATTTAATAGCAAGTTACAGTGTCATTAATTCAATCCTATTTTGCCTTAAATAGTATAAAATGAGGAGAGATGTTAGGAAACTTAAAACTCTTTGGAAGTATCTTCATGTGATTTTCATTTATTTATCACATTAGTTAGCCAACCATACAGTTTTCTATTTAAAAGCATAACATCCTCCTCTTTATTTTTCTTTTTCTTTTTATTTGTGGTTGCCAATTGTACACCATTAATAGCAGACTTCTTATTTCTCTCCCATTTCGTCCTCTTGGACATACAAATATGTAGTCCACACACGTCTTCCCAAGCCCAATTAATTAGCGTAGTTGCCTGCCTGTATTCATTATCACAATATCGAATAAACAATATGTGTGTTTGTCATGCAATAATTAGAAATCTTTTTTATACTGTGAAAAAAACAATTGTACTCTAACATAATTTATCAATTTAATTTATTAACTTAATAATTCATTACTATTGGATAGACACTAAAACTCGATATTTGTTGGGACCCACAATCAATCCAATAACTATGATGAATTATGTCAATAAATTATATCTAAATAACATTATTATTGTGCAAAATAGACTATCATTAAGATCAACAATAACCTTTTTCAAAAAATTTTATTACGAACAAGTGGATTGCCAGGTACACTTAGATTGTTAGTTCAATATACATAATCGTTTTAGTATGGTCCCTAATCATGTATCAATGAGTTTATAAATAGAGCTTCCATTTCTTTTTTTTTTTTTTTATTGCAGGGTGTTTAAGGTTATGTCAATTACTTTATCAAGTTCAGTGGTCGACCATCGTAATTTGAACTACGTTAAAACATGTCTCTTTAGTTCATAAAGGAACAAGGGTGATTAGCTCTTAAAAAATATAAGAAAAATTGTACTGAAAATTTTTAGATTATCAAATATCAAACTTAACCATTAAACAATCCCTAAAGATTTGGGAACATCTATAATATAAAATAAGACGTGTTTTAATAAATTTATTTGACGATTTTAAATAGATTCATCAAATAATCACCAATATTTTTCTCAAAATCATTCACATTGTACCGTACGTTTATGCAAGGTTAACCCTCGTTCTTTTTGAATTCATGACAAATGGACCAGATTGAAGTAAATTGAGGAAATATACTTATTTCGCAGTTAGTGATTTTCATTCAATTTAAGGCTATCTGCATGAGGCTCTGTTGTAAAATGATTGGATTGGACTTGTCGGTGGCCTTTTGGTTTACTTTGCTATCCTATTATTTTTTGCGATTTCTTTACCATAATCTTGTGAATATTCCATTGATGCCCCATCCATAACGAACGCCTTATTCTTTCATGGTCCCTTAAGCCCCCAAGGCCGGATACTCTCATCTATAGCCTCTAGAGGGCAATGCCAAGGACAACCAGCAAGCAGTGATACTGATCAAAGGGTCCAATTACAGTACTAAATGAGTTATGACACCTGAAATTATAGATAAATAGGAGTTAATTATAATTCATTTAGGTCAAGTGACGATTAAGTAGGGGTTAAATCACAATAAAAATAATTGGAATCGATCATACCATCCTAAGATTGATCCTATTTTAACATGGTAGGATCAATCCTAAATATTGGGATTGAACCTACTTTGTAGTAACATCACCATATTGAGTTACATCTTTAACCTTAATTACCAATAATTTTGGTATAAATAACGAAAAACAAGTTAGGGACACCATAGTCCTACGCTTGACCAAATACTTTATTTGAAAATGTCTGTTGGAGGTTTAATATTATTTTTTCATATGACTGTCCTAATTTCTGATCAGATAACACGATGCAGACTTTCAATTATTTATGCTTGCAAAAATGAAAATTGGTAGTGTGATGATAAGTTTCACCAAAACCAGAAGTTGTTTGTTTGTTAATGTGTCGTTCATTACATCATTTTTATACTTGTCAATTAAGTTGGGAAAGGATTAAGTTCCGGAAAAGGATGATTGTCGCCAACAAACACAAGAAAAAGATGACTAACTTCATGACAAAGCCTAGCCACCAAACCCCTTTGGGCATAGCTCAAGAAAAAGAAGAAAAAAAGTTATCAACTTTTACTTATCCTTAATCATGTTGGGTTTCCCGACAATATATAATTTGAAGGGTTAATTATAGCATCACTCCCTATACCTTGGAGTAAATATTTATTGTAACGGTGACATCATACTATCATCGTTATGTGGCTAGTGTCATAATCCAATAAAAAAACAAGTATGTAAAGTCAAGTTTCACTAATCGAATGTATTGATGATTAGATGTGGCAGGCCAATCCAATAGTATTAAAAAAAAATAAAAATATGGGCTTTAGGCCTTAAATTTTTAAAAGGTCTCATAATTTTGATACATAATTAGTCTACATAAAAAATTTAAATCTATGAAAATTTTAGGCCTTACAAAAAGGCCCCAAAAAATTTAAGCTCAATCAAAAAATTATAATTTTAATAAATTGGGCCTACAATTCAATTCATAATATTAGAAATTTAAAAATAAAAAATTTAAAAAACAAATACAAAAAAATTTAAAAGTCAACTCATATTTACTCATATCTATTCTCTCTCTCTCTTTCTCTTAACAAAAAAAAAAGTATCACATTTTCCTCACTTAAAAAAAATTAAAAATAAATTTTGTTTTTTAAAAATAATATTAAAAATAAAAAAAATCTCATTTAGTATTACCGCTTCAGACCTCAAATTACCTTAAGCCACCCCTAAGATGTGGTGGTTATTTGTAGTTATTAGAGTGAGATTCATTTTATCCACTTATTAATTTTTTATTAAATTTTGATACTACATAATAGTGATGATGTGATATCACCGTTACGTATAATATTTTCTCTTATTCAGTGTCTATTCTCATCTTATTTCCCTCCTGAGACACTAGTAATTTCATGGAATCATTTGATTTAGATCTCTTATATAAAACCAATTTTATTTTTTTTTATAACAGATATTCGTCTTAAGCATACGTCTATTGGTGTATTATAAATCTTGCATGCACACGATGACCTGCAAACCACTTGCATTTGTTAGGCCTAATTTTAAGCGGCTAGAGAGACGCAAGGCATGCATGTTCACACGTCGGCCCACATTTGGAAAAATATTGGATGTAACGGCAACACTACGTGACATTGACAATGTGGTGCCACCAATCAGTAATAGAATATCAAGTGGACTCAGTGAACTCCATTGTTTTACTAACTACTAATATCTACGTCTGTCATGTTAAAATAGCAGAATTTACTAATCATGTTTATTATTTTATAAATAGTTGGGGACATCACATGACAATGATAACGTGAAGTTACCGTTGCACCCAATACTTACTCGTTTGTTTGACCCCTTAACCAACTCACACGGGTCGCTATTTTCACGGTGGACTAAGCATCCATTAGAACTGAACTAAAAAGGAGATATGAACTTTATATAACACACATACAGATATACTTAATTAACCCAATGGTTCACTCATTACATACCACAATCTGCCAAAAACAATCTGTTTTCAAACCCTTTTGTGTTTGCTCAGGCCTACTCACCATACCTTCAAACTCTGAAATGACCAAGGTGCATGTAGGCAGTCAGTCTGGAGACAGATAACAGAAACAAAAGAACTACCAGAAGGAAATTTTAGACTAGAACACACATATGTATTTGTATCTAAGTAGTTCATCTATGGGGCTAGGTCTGGGAGTCCATGGCCATGATGGTGCTTAGGTTCATTGGATACATATATTTGTCGGACCCTGTCATGATCGTTTGGACAATAATCTTATTTGCCCGTTCTGTAGGATGGAAGGGGTCCCAAAAGGCGTATATGTCTCTGTTCGGGCAAAGATTGGATACAGCAGTGCAAGTTCCTACCCCGTTGTAAGGTCCTTGTCCACAGCATGCTACCTTTGATGTAACAAAACCTGTTCCAGCCAAAAAAAGGGAAAAAAATAAAATAAAAGTGATTATAGCTACTTTTTTGGCTTGCATATATGCATGTAAATTGTAATTAAATTATCATAGTATTGTATAGTTGTGTTAGTGGCTTAGGTGCAGATTAGAATTCGATCCATCTGAACCCAAAATCGTGAATCCATTAAAAGAAAATCCGATCAATAAATCTAATCTAAATAGCTCCATGATAACTGAATTTTAAATAAATGAATATGTTTCATCTAATATTAACTCAATTTGATCGTATGCTGATGTTCGCATTAGATTAAAATCACATCAATATATTCCAATTCAAACTCGTGAAATATAAACGAATTCAAATTTGATTTTCGACAATCAGTCCAAAAAACCTATAGATATCTAACTAACTAGATTCAAATTCAAAGCAGATTTCAATTGAAATCTGATCCACCGAGAAGCCTAGCATCATACATATGCAGTGGACATTTGTTGTGTGTGTCAAATGATCGACAGAAGTAACCAAAAAGCTTAGTTATAAGAAACAGACCAAATGCTTGTGGATTGTCAATGAAGTTATTCTGCATTTCCACTGCATTAACAGCGACGAAAACATCTGAACCCAGCTCTTGATTAAGACTCTGAATCATCTGGACGAGGCGTGGGTTGAATAGTGCTGCAGCTTGCTGGGGCTCCTCTGCACATTGCCCATTTGTGCTTCTTACGGCTAGCTCTGCCGGAACACAACCCAATGGTCCGGTTCCAGTCACCAGGACCCGCCGGGCTCCCAAATCATACAGCCTCTGCATTGCCTCGTACAGTTAGAAAAGCAACAACAGACCCGCATAAAATCGAGCCTTTTTTGTTTTCTTTCCGGAAATTATTAAGTCCAATTAGCCTAAGTCAATCTGAACCTATGTTTAGACAGTTACATTCGATAGGCCGGCCCAAGCAAGGCCCATTGGTCAGTCAAAATTCAAAATCGTAAATTAAAAGTTGTGAAAAAAATAGGGCCATCAATTGCTATTTATGGATCGTTAAAAAAAAAAAAAATTGCTATTTATGGGCATATCAGATCCCCCATGGGCCTATTAAAACTGACACAAGGAAAAAGCCATGGACCATTTTTTATTGGGGAGGCTTTCCTGGTCAACGGGTGGGCACCACCCGTTATCTATCTGGCCCGGCCTGTTGCCTTCCATGTTAAGGCGTATTCAGGAGTTCTTAAGTAGTTTTTTTTTTCCCTGGATGTTTAAACCAGTTTACAATTAATTACTCGCTTTCTAATTCGATCAAAAATAGATTATTCAAAACAAAATTAAAGTATTTAAGAGAGATAAATCTCCCTAACATGGCCTAAAAAGGGTGTTTTAGCTAAGTAAAACAGGTGACCCCATAAGCCCATGCATCTTTGTGAAGGATTTTAATATGTTTGAGAGATCAACAAAAGGGTCATCTCCTTACCGACCAAACATGCTTTTGTAAACCAATAAGGTTACTTCTGCTGAGGATCTAATTCATTAGTACTAACAGATCAGGCTCTTATATATGAAAAAATACCATTAAAATCTTCCGATACTCAGTGATGAGAAGACGTGTAAACTCAGGGAGAGAATACTGAAGTCTTCTTGCCGTTATTGGCGTCAAGAAGTAGTTGTTGACGTAGTCGTTGCCACCAAGTGTGATCAGGACCAGCCCTTTGTTCACCAGCCGCTTTGTCTGCTCTATTCCAATAAGCGCACTCACGCGTCTTTGGTACTCTTGGAACAACTCCAATTGCCTGTAGATTCTTATGATGTTTGCCTATCAAAAGTAAGTTTAGAATAAAAAAAAACATAAGAAAACAAAAAGAATCATAAAAACATAAGAAAAACAAAAAGAATCATAGTTAGGCTTCAATCTGGATTCTGGGCAACAAGAGAATAAATATTCAACTTGCAATCTGGCTACCACAACCTTTTTTGGTAAGGAGAAATTGTTCAGTTTTTAAACTCATAATTACGACACAAATTTTAGATATACGTAAATTACAAGTAGATCAATTAAACTTTGTTTTTATAAGGAATAAAACTCGAATTGAGAAAATGTACGTGGTTATATCTGATCTCATAGGAGTTCACCATAACACAAAAAAAGTAAAAAACTACCCTTTTGCCAAAAGACCAAACCATTCCAATATCTGGTTCTTTCGAAGAAGTCAAAAAAGGAGTTCTTGGGTGAGGAAGCTGGACATATCTAGCTTACTGAAGATGACTCAAATATAGGGCAATGTACATGTGGCTCGATCGGACTTACAAATTGAATCCCGGTGTCATTCAGGATTCCTATTCCAGCGGAAGCAAAGTTTGCACCGACAAGTAGTTTTTGTCCGGTGAGCTGAGGGTTCAAGTATGCCAATGTGGACTCAGCGCCAATCTGTTGGCCTAGGAAAACAGATTATGAACTCAAATTTCATGTACCCAAAAATGATAAGTGACCTCAGAAACAAGGCAAAACGGAAAAAACTTACTGATAAGGTCAGGGATGTTGTAGCCATTGGAGAATCGGCCGGTGGGTCGGTGACTCGGATAATCGATGCCGTAAGGCGGAGAGTCGGCTCGTGCGGAGGTGAATAAATAGTTGTTGTTGCCGTTATCCACCAGTGAGTCGCCGAACACATAGAAAGCTCTGGCGCCTTCAGCTTGTGGAGCAACTGTTCCAATGAACACCATGGCAACAGCAAAAATGGTGAAAAAGACTGAAGGAGGACTAGCCAGTCTAGCCATGGAGACAATGTGGGCACTTCTCAGACACTCGTCTGTGTGTGTGTGTGTGTGTGAGAGAGAGAGAGAGAGAGAGAGAGAGGGAGAGAAAGAAAGAGAAAGAGAAAGAGAGAGAGAGAGAGTGTGTATGTGCGTTTGCGACGGCGTGCTTCAGCTGTGAATGAGGGGGATAGTGTGGTTTTATACAGGTTTTTTGGGGTGGTGAATTTAGTTGGTTGAGACCCTCATAAATGGCCGGTTTGCACTACCATCATACCATGAGAGAGAGGGAGAACTGGTAGCAACGCAACTAAGCAAGAAAAAGCCTGGAAGCAACTAACAAGAAAAGGCTTAATAAAGGAAAATTAAGTTCTGCTGTGGTTGTTAGAATCACTTTAATTCTCCACCATGGTTTCCATACATGCATGTGACAGACAGTCAAACCTGTTTGTGCTTGTTCTACCGCCATGATTTATAGCTTAGAGTGCTAATTTTTATGGTGAAATTCCAACTTTTTCTCTGTAAGACTGTAACTTTGTACTTGTAAGTAGCGGAGATGGTTTAATTAATGTTAAGTGGACTCAAAAAAAAAAAAAAATAGATTTGATAATCACAATTATTGAATAAATAATAGATCCTAATAAAAATTAGGGTTTACTATAAAAATCAATAGTTATAATTATCAAATTTATTTTTAAAGTTCATGTATCATTGTTGAGTAAGAGTAATGTTATTAATATCTTATTGACATAATAATGTGTCAAGTAATAGATTGTATTTTAAAGAAATCTAACAATTATAGTCAGAATAGCACTATTAAATTATGTCACCGTCACATCATTGGTTCAACAAATTAAATTAATTTTTTAGATCATATGCAGTAACATTACTTTAGAATGTTTAGAATAAAAAATAATACAATCACTTTGATTTAGAATACAAAATTTAGTAAATAATTTGATAAACATAACATTGAGAGAATCTTAATTAATTGCATACAACTCAAGTCTGACCTCAAAAAAATAAATTCGTCATTAATGTCTGTAAACAGTTCAAAAAGCATTTAATTAATGTTTCGATTTAATGGTAATTTTCATTAGTAGCTGCCACCCATCTCCAGTTCTTGTGTGTGCTTTTTTTTTTTATTTGGGGGGGGGGGGGGGGGGGGAGATGTTCATCAAGTTAAATATATTTCTCCATATATAGATGTATATGAAATCTTTTTGAATGGGTCACCAGGTTGTTGTTTACTACTCCTGTATATGTTAAAAAGCAAGCTAAATATTTTCATGTCTGAGGTGAAATGATAAGCTCTAAAAGACTTGTATCAAACCGTTGCCCCTTAAATGAAATATCTTTTTTTTTTCAATGGTGCGGGTGTCTAAATCATATTGTCTTGTCAAAAACATGTTTTTCGCATCTTAAAAAAATATTGATAAAGATAAATTTCTTATAACTTGACTTTAAAGGGTTGACAAACTTCGAACTTAAAACGTATGCGTTTACAATTCATTTCTGTTACTATTTGAATTATCTATTGAGATTTCTTGAATGAAAAAAAATGCTAAATAGATTTAAAAAAAATTAACTTAAAAATTTAATTTGATTAATCGATATCATTGAATAAGTAGTGAATTTTAATAAATATTATGACCCACAATTAAATCAATGACAAATATAATAATTATATCATCAAGTCAATTTTTTTAAGTTTATATAGCATTGCACTTAAATGAAATATCAAAAGGGCTGGTGTGTTGAGTCCATAGGCTTTTTAACGTATGTTATCAACAATTTCTTGCCCATTAATGAGTTTGTTCAAGCTCCCCGCTTTGGTAGAATAGCAAAAGTCGATGAAATTTAATGAAAAGCAAATGATATAACCCCCCCCCCCCCCCCCCCGAGAAGTTCTTAATAGGAATGTCAATCGAGCGAAGCGGGGCGGGGGTTATAATTTTCATTTCCGTACTCGTTTAAAATTTTTTTGTTCATCTCCGGTCCACCCCTGTTAACGGGTATAATTTTTATTTTCATTCCCGTCCGTAGGTATATTTATAATTCTCGTCCCCGTCTCCACTTTCCCTGTACTCGTCCAAGTCCAAGCCTAAGCCTAACTATTAGCCAACATAATTCAAAATTTTAAATAAATTCAAAATTTTAAATAATTTAATAACATTCTAAACTCTTATCAATTGCTACATTGAGTGAGAACCAAGACATGAATAAAAAAACAAAAGGACAATTTCTTATGTCCCTAAAGTTCAATAGACAATTTCTTATGGGACAACACCAACAGACCCTAGGCTCTAATACGAAGAATATATATTAGTTAGAGCAATGTCAGACTGACCAAAATTAGGGATCAAATGACATGACAACCTAGTCAACATTCCAAATAAGCTATCATTGTCATTTAATAAAAAGATTAATATTTTATTAATATTTGAGTTAAAAACTTTTCCACTTCCACCATTAATACCCACCTTTCCCTCTCTCTCTCGCTTTCGTCCTCTAGTATTTGTCCTTCCTTTTCTTTCTTTTCTGCCAAAGAAGAAAACCACCCAGGAGTAATGCTACGCTGAATCACGCCTTCCCAAGATGTTCAACTGTGAAGAAGCTGTTTGATGGGTATGATGATTTAGTCACTGGGTTCAACTTTTTCCTATCGGCTAAGAAGAAGCCTGTCGTCGCTTCGTCAGAGGCGTACAATAGCACGGTGGAATATCAAACTCCGACTTCATCGTGGACGACACAAATCGAGTTTGTAAAAAAGGTTCAAAAGCATTTCAGAGATGATGTTCGGAGAAATAAATTGTTTCTTGATGTTTTGGGTATGTGGCGATTTGGGGACAGGGTCATTGATCGGCTCGATCAAGAGGTTGCTGGTGTGTTTAAAGAGCTCCCAAATATGTACATGCAGTTCAAGGGGTTTTATGGTGATTTTTCAGAGGAGAAATTGAATGATAGGGAGCGAATCGACAGGAATTAAAAACTCAGAGAAACGAAAAATTATATGTTCAACACGAGGCTGAAACATACCTTCGACTAGTGAACCAAACTCTCTGATTCGTCTCGATTATTATAACAAAGCATCTGCTACCACAAGCAAAAAAATTGAACTTTCTCCATATCGATTATTTCTGAATGTTACAAATGTTTATCAGGAAGCTCTGTTTCTTGAAGGACTTGTCCAATTTTTTATAGGGTTTCAGGATCATAAAATTCTAAGTGAATTTGAACTATCCAAAATGGCTATCAATTGATGATTTAATTAGGGGTTTTGGGGTTCAGTTGGTTGATAATGAGGCTATCTATCCTCTGATTTCTAGCATATCTTGGACAGAGTTCTGTATCTGAAACTTCTGTGCAATTGCTAAAGCCACTGTTCATATTGATCTCCACTTTGTAGTGATTAAGTCAAATTTTCTTTATTTTGATTCTTTGGTCTTGGTGGTAATCATCAGTTGTGCTTGATTAATGAATGTTAGGGAGTCTTGAATTAGCCAACAGTTTTGCTTGATTATAATTGAAATTTCATAAATGAAAAGCCAAGTTTTTTAAATTAGAATGTCACTGAATCACCATTGGATGAGTCAGTGCTGGCCTTACAAGAAGAACTAAGGACTCAAAAAATGTGAATTCAAGCACTTGATTTTCCCTAACAACACTTAAAAAGGAGGGCAAAGGTAGCAGTGGAACTACATGTATTAAGCCCAATCTTTCACTCTCCTAGTGAGTACTTTTGCAATGTATTACACAATTTTTTTTTCATTATCACCAACTGAATCATGTAATTTGGAGGAATTGCATGATTAACCCTTTGTACATGACACTGACAATGTCAATTGTATTTGTCAATTATACACAATCTCTAATCTTAAATCCAGTTCCAACATATAATAGCACATAAAAGTCAAATCAGGGTTTCCAATGAAACCATTCCACCATGACAAACAATTTTGACAGAACACACCCAATTCAATATACTGGCCAACTATATACCAAATGCTAAGAACAATTAAATCCAATTCCACCAAAATCAGTCAATAATGAAAAACGAGGTATCAAAATAAAACATAGTTAGCCAATCTATCAGCAACACAATTGGCCAATCTATCAGCACAACATAGTTAGCCAAAAAATTAATCTCATACATCATAACTCTATTTCCAAAATAAAACAAAACAAAACAAATAAAAATCTGTTTTCTTTGTCTTCCATTTGACTTGCACCAAAAATTGTTGTATTTTCCTCTGCATTGACTTTTGCCTACACAAACCAAACTAATAGATCTTAAAACTGTATATAAATAGATCCAAAAGTTATTGAAAAATTAAGAAAACTAATAGAACTTAAAATGGTATATAAGAAGTTCGTAACTCACTTATTGGTCTAGACACTTTGAACCACTCTTGCCAGCATCCCCATCATTTCCTGAATTTAGGCTTTCCTATATATAGCAAAAATTCAAAAAAAAATTAAAGTGCATGGAGATGTGAATTAGATGGAAATTAACAAATGAATATTGTACTTGCTGTTGTATGATATTGGACAATTGTGTAGTATCGTTGATTCCAAATACTGGTGTAGAGTAGGGAACATGATCCATACCATATATACCTCTCCAGTATGAAAAGTGTTGAGCCTAAATTTAAAGAACACATGTTAAATGGAACACATATTTTCTATTAAATAAAACAAATATGACATACCTGTAACATATTTTGGTGTGAAAAACCTAGAGTGTGTCATGTTGTCCATTGTATATCCACCTCTATATTCATGTGCTCAAGGAGTAAAGTTGCCCCCATACAAGAAGGGTGGGTTGGCCTTCATAACACATAATACACTACAACTAAATAAATAGCTCATAGGAAAATATTTAATATAATTGCTCAAATTAGCAAATACAATCTTGTACCTTTAATGCAATGCTTTGTTGAGTCTCAACTATGTCAACAACTTTCGTACTTAATGCATCATAACGTTACTAATTTTGTTGCCTTGGACCATGTTAGAATCCTACAAAAAAATTTATAAAATTAGTAATGTGAACAAAATAAAAGAATTAATTTAAAAATCACATAATTCAAATATTTCATACCTTCACATAATTCCCTGCATTTTTGGTAATTGTCTTTGCTTCCATCTTTTTTTTTTCTTTTCCTCCTTTTTCCTAATTACTTGCTCGACCTTAGATTGCTTCCTTTTATATGGTGGTCGCCCTTTACTACAAACTACCTCTGGAACAAGTATATTTGCATTCTCTTTTGATGTTGGATTAACATCACTACAAGCATTTGTTTTCCCAACATTCATATTGGTAGTAGGTTGACTACTCTTACCAACACAATCATATTTGTTTAAGTCCATTTCCAATTCATTTAGCCTTTACATCACTAAATTGGTCTTTTCTTCAGAATCAGTTGTCAAGTCTGCAACCTGATAAAATGTATTACACAACTTGTCAAAACGACATGCTTCAGGTTTGACACTCCAATCATCATAACTAATCTTCACCTTCGTGTGACACCTCTTCAAATTTTTCCTCCATCGCCGAATGATGTATTTTGCTAGAATCACTAAAAATCTTCTTATGAATTAGCATTGTGATTGCATGTCTACATAGAATGCCTCTAAATTCAAACAAACGACAATTGCACTTAATGTCACAGTCATCATGAATTAAAGAAACTTTGAAAGATGCACGCCAAGATGACTCTCCAACCTTTA